TCAGTAATAAAAATTTAAATTCCGAGTTGAATTTAAGGGGCAATGAGAATGCTAATGAAATTATTATTTTAGATAAAATAAACGCTGATTCTCCGATTAAAACATATGATATTTTAATGACGGAAAGATTAGATGGACCATGTTTGTGTCCAAGGGTTAGTTTGAAAATTGACCATAGGAATATAGAAATGCTATTTGACACCGGGGCTAGTATTTCTCTAATGTCGCAGGAGAATTTTTATAAGTATTGGCCTGGGGGTAAACTGGAAAAATAGGCTATGTGTGTCAGGCAGTTTGATGGGTCGGAAGTTGCTGTGTTGGGAAAGGCCAAATTGGGGGTTAATCTTAATGATACTATATTTTTCCTTGATTTATGGGTAGTAAAGGAAAATGTTGAGACTGTTATGGGGTGAGATTGGATTACCAAGCTTGGTCCTCCCGATAATTATTGGAATATTTTTAATACTAGTGATAATGTAATAGTGGATGTTGAAGAGAGTGGAAATTTGGATAATACCGATAATAAAATTTGTGAAATTTCAGAGGAGATGATGGAGAAATCGAGTAAGTTGGATTTTAATGATGAGATAGATGAGAAGCAAATTATGGTCGGGGGAAAAGAGGATTGGAGTAAAGTTAATTAAGCTATTCCTATTCTAGTGAGGCAGTATGGCATCATTTTTATGAAAAATTAGGTTGTTTAAATGATTATCAAGTTGATGTTCAACTTAGGGGGGGTTTTTCACCGATCTTTTTGGCTTGTCGGCGAGTTCCTTTCGAATGGAGGAAGGAGATTGATGAGGAATTAGATAATTGGGTGAAGGATGGCATTATTATTCCTGTGGGATATAGCGAATGGGAAACCCCGTTAGTGCCAGTTAGGAAGGCAAATGGTAAATTGAGACTTATTGCGGATTTCAGGGTCACAGTAAATCGATGGGTTGTGGAGGTCAAATATCCATTGCCTCGGATTGAGGAGATTTTGGCTAATTTGAAGGGTGCGAAATATTTTTCCAAGGTGGATTTTTCGTCGGCATATTTGCAGTTTAATTTGAGGAAGGAAATCCGTAAGTTATTGACGATAACAACTCCAAAGGGGTTGTTTGCGTTTTGTAGATTACCATTTGGGTTGAGCGTATCGGCTTCCATTTTTCAACGTACCATGGCGTCTGTTTTCCAAGGAATGGAAGGGGTCTTTTACTATATGGATGATGTGCTAATTACGGGAATGACGCCGGAGCAGCACAACCAGCGCCTGGAAGAAGTTTTTAGAAGAATTAGGGACAAGGGCTTGAGAGCCAGTAGAGAAAAAAGTGTTCTGGGAGTAACGGAGGTAGAGTATTTAGGGCATCGAATAAATGGTATTGAGGTAAAACCCCTTGATAAAAATTTGAAAAATATAACAAATATGAAGCAGCCGAATAATAAAGCGGAGGTACAGTCGTTCCTGGGAATGGTGAATTATTATCATCGTTTTGTGGAGGATTTCGCCAAGTTGGCAGCGCCGTTATATGAATTACTGAAGAAGGGAACTCATTTTGAGTGGAAAGGTGAACAGCAATCAGCTTTCGAAGTTTTAAAGGAAAGGATTGGAAAAGAGCCGATTTTAGTTTGTTTTAATAACGACTGGGAGATCATTTTGGCGGTGGATGCCTCGAGTAAAGGGGTTGGAGGGGCTTTGTTGCATTTAGTGGATGGTTTGGAGAGACCTATTATATTTTTCTCGCCTATTTTTCGTGAGGTGGAGACGAGATATTATGTGATTGAACAGGAGGCCTTAGCTGTGATTTTCGGGTTGACAAAATGTCGTGAATATTTGATTGGTAAAAAATTTGTAATTTTTACTGATCACAAGCCGTTAATTCACTTATTTCGAAAAGATAACCGAGAGTTGATGATGTCCCCCCGGTTGCAAAGGTGGTTTTGCTGGTGGGCAGTTTTAATGTGGAAATTCGTTATCGTCGGGGCAAAGAGAATTGTTTGCCGGATATTTTATCAAGATTAGGGTCTGATGATGAAAAGGACAAAGTCGGGGACAGTGAAAAGGTTCTGGTTTGTTCGCTTTCGCATATGCTCAAAGGGGGTCCTACCAATTGGGAGGATCTTAAGTTGAGTACATTGCAGTGATCCCTACAACGGGGGGGGGGGGTCCGAAGCAACTGCTTCTATAAATTTCTATGGGGGTACTTTTTTTTTAAAATTTTTTTATTTTTTTAAAAATTTTTATGGTCGATGTTTAGCAAATTAGTTTGTTATCCGATATTTCTTATCATAAAATTATTTTTCCACTTTCAAGATTTGGCGCAAAATTAAAATTTTATCAAAGGGAATAGTAAAAATTTAAATATTTAATCTTATATATAATCATTTATAATTTCTAGATCATTATCAAAATATGCCCAAAAATATTAACCAAAAAAAATATAAATGCTTGATTAAAAATTAAGATGGCAATATGATGAGCCTTATTAAACTTATTGCAGATTCTAGCCTGTTCTTAAAATGTATATACAAAATAATGAAGAAAGAAGAAGTGAGAAAAAAATTAAGGGATTAAAATCTAAATTATATTCAAATCTGTTATCATATAATAACATAAATATTCTTATTGAAACCATGAAAAATATGGTTATAAAAAAAATTCAAAAGGAGATTGAATTCAACAGGTGCTATTCAATTATAGATGATGGCACATATGATGTATCGAAATCAGAAGCAATAGCTTTGATAGTGAGATATGTTGAAAATAGCGAGACACCTAAGCCCGTTGAAAGGCTGATTAGACATTTATTGTACGGGAAATACAACGGGCCTCGATATTAAAAAGAATATAATATCCAAGCTTGGCTCCATGAATCTACCCCTCGAATTCCTAGTGGGGCAAAGCTATGATGGCACCTCAAACATGAGTGGAAGAATTAATGGAGTGCAGGCTTTGATTAGAGCGGAGGCGCCAAAGGCAGCTTTTATTTGGTGCTATATCGATTAAATTTAATAGTTGTTCAATTATGCCAATCAGTAAAAGAGCTGCGAAATGTCTTGGGAATATTAGACGAAATTTACGTATATTTTAATGGTGTTAAAAGATATGAAGTGCTCAAAACATGTCAGAGTGATTTACTGACAAAATCACATAGATTTTTACGCATCAAGAATACCACTCGGTAATATTATCTTAATTGTTTCGATATATAATGTTTATTTTATATTTATAGAAGCTGGCTAACATCATATAAGGCCATTGTAAATTTTTTCCTACTTTATGATGCTTTGAGGGCAGCTTTGGCAAATTTAAAGGATTCTGAAGATCCTGCCACTTCCACTATGGCTAGTGCTCTAGTCTATAGAATAGAAAAATTTGATTTTATTTTATCACTATGTGTTTTGGATAAAATATTGTTGATAACAAGCTTGGCTTGTACAAAATTGCAAACCATTTCGAAGGATATAGGGTTTGCAATAAATCAAATTCAATTGGCAAAAGATTGCCTGATTAATATGAGAAGTATAATTTAAATTATTATCTTTTATTATTTTATAATCCTAAAATTGATAATAACACTGAATTTTTGGATGTCTTTTCAAAGGCCCAAGATTTTATGAAGAAGAGAAATTTACCTTTTGATTTTGAAAGTTCAAGACTTCAAACATTACAATCCAAAAAGGAGAGGTATATATATACTTTCATCATTAAATATAATATTTTATTTTAGCTTTAAAATCAGTGTGTTTTATGCTGCACTTGATTTAATTATTATGCAGTTTAGTGAAAGATTTAACGATGAATCGATAAAATTTTTGAGTCAAACATCATTTTTTACTCCAGAGGGAATGGCGGAAAAGGCAATTGTTAAAGATGATATCAAGGATATCTGTGAATTTTATCAATTAAATACAAGTCAAGTTTTTGAGGAAATGTTGATGTTTAGAAATATTTATAAAATGGCTAAAACGGGGGACGTAATTATTACTCGAGACCTAGAGATTAAAGAAGATTTGTCAGATTCTGAGAATTGTAAATTTATTTAATTAAAATATTTTTACTAATACATTATTTAGCTTCTTCTGATGATGATAATAATTCTGAGATGAATGATTCAGACTGGAGAAACTATTCATTTATTTTACCTTATCGTCTGCTTGTAAATTTTTCTGCTTTCCCAAATTTAACAATTTTATATAAATATTTATTAACTATTCCTACTACATCATGTACTGCCGAAAGGGTCATGAGTAAAATTAAAACAAGACTTCGTAGTGTCATGAAAGATCCATTTCTTAATTGATTTAACCATTTTATCAATGGAAAATAATTTATTTAAACAATTAAATATTGATGAAATTATAAATTCTTTTGCTTTCTCTTCCCCTAATTTATCTAAATTATTAATTTAAAAATAATATTTTTAAAGCATATATTTTTTACATTATATTTATATTATAATAAATATTGATGCAATAAAAATTATTTTTGAAATTTATTGGTGTCAAAAAATAATTTACATTGGGGGGGGGGGGGGGGGTACTTTAGGGGGGTATTCTGCTTCTATCCCTCAAAAAGTGTAGGGGTCACTGGTACATTGAGAGATATAGAAATGATTAGGATAAAGTTATGTGTAATGGGGAAAAAGCCTTTTGGAAGAGGATTGAAAAGTTTTTAAAAGGGTGGAAGAGGAATTGTCTGTGGTGGATGATTGTTTAATGAGGGGTAATCGTGCCGTAATTCCGTTCAATAGGGGGTAAAATTTAAAATTTGTTACATGCTGGACATCAAGGTCAAGGGAAGATGAAATCGTGGGCCCGTAAATATGTTTGGTTATGGGAAAAGATATTGAAAATATCACAAGGAAATGTGAGCCGTGTAATTCGTGCGCGGCGATGCCCCGAAAGGAGGTGGGTCAGATATGGCCCAGGTCGAGAAAACCGTGGGAACGCTTACATGTTGATTTTTTCGATTTAGATAAAAGGTCGTATTTTTTAGTAGTAGATTCGTATTCGAAATGGATAGAGTACGAGGAGGTACATGGATATACCACGAAAATTGTTGTAAGGAAATTGAGGGCATAATGGCCAGGTTCGGATTGCCGGATACCATTGTATCTGATGGAGGACCTGCCTTTTTTAGCAAAAATTTCAAGCAGTTTTGTAAAGAGTCTAGGATTCGACACATTTTGACCCTGCCCTATCATCCCAGCTCAAATGGTCAAGCTGAGAGGATGGTAGCAATTGTATTGGATAAGGAAAGCCGGCAATCAAGGGAATGGGGCGTATTTGGTTCAGTTGTATTACCTCAATTCCACAAATAAGGAGGGAGTGACACCTGCTGAATTGTTTTTGGGCCGGAGGACTAGGGTTCCCCTAGATTTTCTAAGGGCCGAGAGTCACGAGAAGGGAGTTCTGGAGGACCGAAAGATTAGGTTTGAAGTTGGAGAAAAAGTATGGACTCGTTTGTTTGACGGGAGGGGCAGAAAATGGGCCAAGGGCATTGTTGGGGAAAACAGAGGTTCAAAGTTGAATTTGGTTCAATTAGAAATGGGCGGCACAGTTATGCGCCACAATGATCATATACGACCCAGGGATTAGACCTGAGGTACCTCATATGATAATATAAATATGAAAATATATATATAAATAAAATGAAGGTGCATCCCGAAGGATTAGACTCGTTTCCGAGCAGATATATAATGTAGTTATGTTAAATGAAGATTTGGGTAATGTATTGTATGTGGGAATGGGAAGTTAAAGGATCAAATAGGAGAGGGGCTCATCTTAAAGTGGTAAATATATATATTTATGCAAAGTTAAAGCATAAAGGAGAAATAAAATGTACGTGAACGGTCGGTAACCTTTTTGTTTGAGTTTATTTATTATTACACGATGGTATTAGAATTTATTGATAAAGATGTTTATGTAAAAGAGTGAAATTGAATAAGGAGGTTATCCCGGTAATGTTACGAGAAATTAAAGTATATGTAGATATATGTAATGTTAAGTTAAACTGGTTAATGTTCCGTCGGTAATAAACAAGGAAAAAAGATTGAAATTGTGGTAATATATTTATTGTAAATGAATAAAAGTGTAAAAAAATAAAAGGAATAGAAAAGTTGTAATTCATTTCGTGAATACATTTTTGTTCATAGCCTTATAGGATAAATCACGACTGTTGAGTATTTTAATTAATTAAAAGTTTTTTTTAAAAGTTTTTTTTTGGTTAGCACGTGCGGCGTGTTTGAGTTATTTGGTATTAGGAAGACATTTGTAAAAAAGGAATTAAAATTAAAAAGTTTTGTTTTATTTTTTTTTCTCCCCCTTCTTGTTTATAATTTAATGGCCCGTGTATGTTCGGAATACCATAAAAGGAAATATGAAAAGTTTTAAAAAGTGTTTATTTAATAATTTTTTTTGTAAAAGATTTTTTTTTTTAATTATAAAATTGTTTATTTTTTTAAAAAATTTCCCAAAATTCGAAAATTATATGAAAAAATTTCGAGTGGTTTCAAGTATACCAATTAACAAACCACGATCCCCAATGACCTTCTAATGACATACGTAGGACGTATATGTAAACATATGAAGATCAGACCTTTGCACGCTATGACTATGATAGGATGAGGAACTCGTAGTAACAGATTACAGTCTTAACAAACTCGTGTCAAGAGCAATGACAACCACCCGATTACGATGTATGACGGCAATGTAGGCAAATAGAGATCTTTATGCCATGGCCATGTTATTCATTGGGGCTACATTTCTCTGCGTCGCCGCTTTGAGCAGGCCTTTTGAAACATTTTCGCCTCATAATAATAACGCCAATCCTTATTCCAAAAGTACACGAAGGAATATCACAGTACCCTCAATGATTAGTCAATGAACATTCTTTATTAAGAATGGATATCGCAAAAGAAAAAGACGAAGCGGGAAACGTAGCAGATGATTTGACAAAGATTTTATTATCACCGGAAATATCTATTGTTCCTTTCGGGTTGGTGTTTCTCATAGTTATATTCACTATCACAATGGATCATTCACATTGAAATTAGCTATTTTTTTTGAAATATTCAAAGACTTTATAGAAGTTTATTAATCTGTTATAGCCATTTAATTGATCATGCAACACCGCTATATATCGATTTTTTTTTAACAAAAAATATATATGCCGATATGCCATGAGCCCATAAAGGGGTGGCATGTCGTATTTGTAAATTTTATATTTTTTTTACGCGAAATGCCAATCAACCGATTAAAATAAGGTTGATTGGATATAAAATTAGATGTAATATTGTAGTTATATAATATAGATTTGATATTATATGATAATTATTACTTTTTTTGGAATTAATTTGAAAAATATATAAATTATTGATATTATCGAAAATAAAGATTTATTATTATTGACTTTTGATTTATTTAAATTTTGGATTGTCATTTAGTTTTTCTTGGTTTTCTGATTTGTAATTTCGTATAATCTTTGATAGTTGTTTTTTAGAAGGGTTGGGTTTAGTTTCGAGGATTTGTTTAGGTAGATTTGTTTTAGTTTGTGATTGTAGGTTTTTTTTTAATGATCTGTACCAAAATTATTTTCATTATCATTCTATTTATGATTTTAGAATTAATTATAAAATTGTTATAATAATTTTTGCTATTTATTTAGTAACGAGCTACCGTTATCTCTCTTTTTAAAAAATAGTTGCACGCTAAAGATATCGATACTAAAAAAATAGCTATGGAGTATCGTGCTAATATAGAACACTGCATATTATATATTTCAAGTCCAGGATTGGAACCGAAAAAAGATTTAAAAAATTGTTTTATCTTCATTCACTTTTATTTCTGTAAATTCTATCCAACTAGACATTTTGTTAATATGTTGACCCCCCCCCTCAGACTAAGTCATACCCATCAAGACCAAGAATAAAGACTTTCAGTCAAACCATATTAAAATTACCTTTTATTTGATACCCATATCCAAAAAATTATTTTTACACCCCCCTACTCCTACCCCCTAGACTACCTATCATGGGGCAGACATTGACTTCCAGTTGAATAGATCTTTTGATTAGCTATCGATTGATACCCATATCAAAAAAAATTATTTTTTACACATCCCCCCCACCCCCACCCTCTTAGACCTCCAATTATGGGGCAGAGATTGACCTCCAGTTGAATAGATCTTTTGATTAGCTATCAATTGATACCCATATCAAAAAAAAAATTTACACCCCCACCCCCCCCACTCCTTCCCAGACCGCCCATTATGGGGCAGAGATTGACCTCCAGTTGAATAGATTTTTTGATTAGCTATCGATTGATACCCATATCAAAAAAAATTATTTTTTACACCCACCCCCACCCCCCTAGACAGCCCATTATGGGGCAGAGATTGAACTCCAATTGAATAGATCTTTTGATTAGCTATAGATTGATACACATATCAAAAAAAAAATTTACACCCCCACCCCCCCCTACCCAGACCGCCCATTATGGGGCAGAGATTGACCTCCAGATGAATAGATTTTTTGATTAGCTATCGATTGATACCCATATCAAAAAAATTATTTTTTACACCCCCCACCCCCATCCGACCGCCCATTATGGGGCAGAGATTGAACTCCAGTTGAATAGATCTTGTGATTAGCTATCGATTGATACCCTATACTAGACATATCTTATATCATAAGGCCAAAAAAACAACATTGAAAATTAAAAAACGCAACGAAACTCGTGGAAAAAGCTTTTAAAATAAGATTCCTCTTTATCACGATTAAAACGTGATAATACCGTATAGTTCTTTATCCTTTAAAAAATTGAAATTTTAAAGGGATCCCTTTAAATCCCGTGAAGATCCCGGATAGTCATGATCCCTTTAAAAATTACGACATATATATATCTATTTAATTAATGCAAACAAAAAAAATAATAATTTAACTCATTTTAAAAATAGCAATTTTTTTTATAATTACAAGAATGAATGCGCAAAAAAAAATCAAAAAATATTAATCACAAATAAAAATTAAAAGAATGAATGCGCACAAATCACAAATAAAATGCTTATTATACAAAATGACTCCACGATACACATACATGACAGGTGCAATTTAATTTTATACTAAATTTTGTGTAAAAATTTCTGAAAATATATTTTTGTTGAATATATTATATTAATTCTAAGATGTAATTTAAAATTCTTAACTTTCTAGTAATTTTTTTTAATGGTTGTTATAAATGAATGGAATTAAAAAATTTTTAAATTTAAATATTATTTTTAAATTTTAATTTATATGAATGAATCGTATCCACAAAAATTGACCCGGAAAATTAAAATATAAAATAGATATATTTAAATTTTTTTTCTTTAGTCTGAAAATTAAAGTGTGGAATCTATACAAACTAATGAAAATTATTTTCGAGTGATATTCATTTACACTTCATAAAAAAAGGTATTAATACTATTAGGTGTTCGAATTATAGCAAACCAAATGTAATCTTAACCAAATTATTAGCAATCATGATTTTGAAATGCCCAATTCTCATGCTTTGGATGGTTTTATCCAATTTTGAATTGATGTCTTTTGCGGCATATCGTGTTGTTCCTGCCATTCACTACATTTTTCCATCCATGTCTCTTTCTTGGTTTATATTAGGCCACTACATGTATTGTCTTGTCTCATCTTAATTTTTACTATCCCAATATGTCCTTGATGTATCATGTTTAGCCAAGGACCCGGAGTGAACCGTAACGAACCGTTAAACTATTATAAACCGTTATAAATATCTGAACCGTAACCGAACCTATATAATTATTTTTTGAAGGAGTGAAAAGAACCATTATAAAAAAAGGTTAAACTGGTTCAAACCGGTTCAGTTTTTATATTTTAGAAATGGAAATAACTTGAGTATATAAACCTACTCTTAAAGTACTGGCGGTTCTCGCAACACAAGTTTCTATAGAAAGGGTCTTTTCGGGGTTAAAATTTGAGTTATCGTCACAAAGAACAAAAAGGAATCCATTTATGTTAGAAAATGTATTACTTATACGTTCAAATATCTATTATAATAATCCTCAAAAAACGTCAATCAAATTTAGCCAATAGTGTTCTTTTAAAAAAAATTTGTCCAATAAAAATGATTATAGGGTAATTGGTCCAATAGTAATCATATAACAACCTCAACATTCATTCAATTTTATAACACATTTTATCTTCACTTCATAAGGTTTTTTTTTTATAGTTTATATAGTTAACCTACAGGAAACGTTAATATATTGGAATATTCAAGTCTTTTAAAATTGGCTTCAAAGAAATTTAAACTTCAATCTGTAGAATAAAGGAGAGTTTTAATGTCATAGTATGTCTCTAGGAATTTAGGGGTAAAACAATTTTAATATCAAAACTATTTTTAAAGTATACTTTGATAAACATTTTGAATATTTTAATTTTTTTAAAACTTAAATGTGTCCAAAGTGTTGTTATTAATTTGTGAAAATTTTAAGGATTTTTTAAAACATTTTGGATGCAGCTTAAAATAAAATTTTAGTTAATTAATATTCAATAAATTTTTTGGATTTAAGGAAAAGTTATTTGGAT